CATTCTGCTGTGGGGACTCAGGCAGCGTCCAGGACTGGGTGATGCCCTGTTCGCCGCAAAATCCGCCGAGAATGCCGGAGCGAAACTCGCCCCCACGGTCGGAGTGGAGACAACTGACTCGACGACCACGAGTGCCCTCAGTGGCTAGAAGCCACCTGATCAGCGTAGCAGTCACCTCAGACTTCTTCGCAAGAGGGAACACTGTGGTGTACCTGGAGAAGTCGTCGACGACCACCAGAAAGTAACGCTCCCTCCCAGACCCCTGCGTCGGGGCAGGGCCCCAGACGTCCAAGTGGAGAGTCTCGAAGGGAGCGGTGGCCGGACGAAGGGAGGAGGAGTGGGGAGTGGCGCGTAAGCGACCAGCGACGCAAGGAGAGCAAGGAGGGGCAAGCGAGAGAGGGAGCGACGGGAAGGTGCGTGGGAGACCTGTGACGAGTCCCTGACTGAGCATGCCACGAAGGCGAGGGATCGATGGGTGGCCAAGACGGTGGTGCCACAGGACGGTGCGGTGGGTGAGAGAGCGACAGGAGCAAGACGCGGCGACTGGACTGGACACAGCGACAGGACTGGACACGACTACCTGGCTAGACACAGCAACTGGACTGGGGACCTGGGCCGGAGGGGACGCAACGACCTGAGGGGAGGACGCGACCGGGGAGTGCTCGGTGTGGAGAACGTAGAGACCGGAGCGGGGCTCCCTGGTGAACGTGGCCAGAACAGCACCTGTGGTAGCGTCAGTACAGACTGCAGTCCGCCCACCCCCCACGAAGGTAACTGTGATCCCCCTGTCCTGGAGGTATCCAACACCCACCAAGTTCCGAGTGAACGAGGGGATGTGGAGGCCACGCAGGACACCAGAGGGGACCACAGGGCACGGGAGGGTGGTGGAGCTACGCGCAACGGCTGGTCCAGAGGTAGGATCAGCCAGAGCCACCGACACAGGTGTGAGCAGTGGCGTAAGGGTCGTGTGGTCGCGGAAGAAGCACTGAGACGCGCCCGAGTCCAGCGTGAACGAAAGAGAGGCCTCAGCCGGTGGGTCACCTGACCCAGTCGCTACACAAGCACCTAGAGCAGCAACACAAGCACCTAAGCTAGACAGGCACAAGGCTACACTAGCAGGAGGCAAGCAGGCTAACCTACGAACACGCGAGCACCCAGATCCATCATCACAAAAGTCAGCATCAACATACAAAGCATGCTGACGCGCATCGTCCATGGACAAAGCAAATACATCAATCTTACGGGCTAACAGACGAGACCAGCGAGGCGTGACCGCCAGAGGGCCCCAACGAGCCCGGTAGAGGTCGTCGAGGCGGCGGAAGCACCGCGCGGCAGAGTGGTCGTCGCGACCACAGAGACAGGGGCTACCCGGCCCGGTGACGCACCAGTGGGTGCACGGGCCAGCGTCACGGCGAGGGGGGGAGGGGCCCAGCTGGAAGTACTGCTGCTGCGGCTGGTGCTCCCAGGGCCTCCCGGACCCCACTGCGGCGAAGGACCCCAGTGCTGCTGCGGACCCCACTGCAGCGGGGGCCCCCACTGCTGGAACTGCTGCGGCGCCTGCTGGTGTTGCTGTCCCTGCTGCTGCTGCTGTCCCTGCTGTGGCAGGTGTTGCTGTGGCTGCTGCTGCTGGGGGGGAACGCCCCCACCGGTCGGGCCACCACCTGTGGGTGGGCCTGTCTGTCCAGCACCTCCTCCAAGCCCCCCTCCCCCAGGTGCACCACCGCCGCCGCCGCCGCCGCCTCCGCCACCACCGGCGCTCCCACCTCCACCGCCACCTCCACCGCCGCCTCCACCGCCTCCACCTCCCCCCTTCCCGCCCTTCTTGCCACTCTTGCCCCGTTTCTGCCAGTCTGCGGCAGAAACGGAAGCGGTGTCCTCAGAGACCGACACAGCAGCAGAAGCGCGGGTAGCAGTGAAAGTTGGAAGCTGAGGGGCGGCACACCCCGCAAAGAGACGGGGGGCCACCGCATCAGTGGCGGAGGCAACGGTGAGGAGACTGCTCTCGATGGTCCCTAGAGCAGTCGCTAGGAGGTCGATAATGAGCTCAGTGGGGTGCTTCTGAAGAAGCGCGTCGCGGGCAGTGGCAAGGCGGTCAGGGAGGCGGGTGACTAACCAGTGCACAGTGAGCCACATGGGGGGGGGAGCAACAAGGAGCTGTGCGTCGGTACAGGCAGCACGGAAACCGGCGTCAAGCGAGCGGAGGTGAGTCACGAGGTCGGAAACAGTCGCAAACGAGCCTAGGTCGGGAAACACAAACGGCATGAGGAGGCGACTGAGGGAGGCAGAGGAGGGGGTGGAGTAGCGGGCAACAATAGCATCCCACACCCCCTGGGCTGTCTCCACCTGGTCAAAGTGGGCGGCCTCAGTCGGGGGGAGAAGCTCCGACAGTGTGAGAGCGGCGGCAGCGTCACGCGAGAGCCACACGTCCCTGGCCAGGACCCGACGGTCGTACTCCGCCTGGGCCGTAGGGGTCGGCTGGTAGGCAGGGCGGCGGGGGACGGGGGGGCCTGTAGGGCACCAGACGCGTGAGCCCACAGAGTGGCGCCGTCCTGTCGCTGGCTGGTGAGGAAGCGCGTGGTCTGGCGCTGCCAGGTGCCGAACTCTACCGGGCGTCCCTCCGCGTCGAAACGGAGGCGACGAGACTCCATAACGGAAGACATGCTCGAGGCGGCTGGAGCACGGCGGAGGCTGAGCTAAGAACGAGGAGGACGGCTACTGAGGGCGAGAGACGCCAGGTGGAACGCTACGAGTGAACCGATAGCGGAAGGAGCAAACGAGGTGAGGCGGAGAACGGCTAGGGACGCCAGGGACGGAGCGACTAGGAGCTAGGGAGGATTCGGCGCTACGGCTAGCTACCGGAGGTATGAGCGGCTGCCAGCCGCTGAGGTGAAGGCCAGTGACCGGGAGAATGGGGAGGGCCCGGGAAACAGGGCGGAGGAGGGGTGAAAACGGTCACGTGCCGAGGGTAGGTGCGGATCGGGCGGGCTAGGGTGATGCTGACGGTGGGAATGGGCGGGAGGGCGGTTTTGACGGTGGGAATGGGCGAGAGGGCGGTTTTGACGGTGGGAATGGGCGGGAGGGCGGTTTTAACGGTGGGAATGGGCGGGGAGGGCGGTTTGACGGTGGGAAAGGGCGGGTAGAGGGCGCGACGGTATAGGAATGGGGCGTGGGCGACGGGCTAGGTGCGGAGGGCGAGGGGCAGGGCGTAGGGGCGCCGCGACGAGCTGGGGCAGCGCCTACGGGCTACGCGCTGGCTAGGGGCAGGGCGCACGGGCGCCGCGACGGGCTGGGGCAGCGCCTACGGGCGTCGCGACGGGCTGGGGCAGGGCCTACGGGCGTCGCGACGGGCTGGGGCAGGGCCTACGGGCGTCGCGACGGGCTGGGGCAGGGCCTACGGGCGTCGCGACGGGCTGGGGCAGGGCCTACGGGCGTCGCGACGGGCTGGGGCAGGGCCTACGGGCGTCGCGACGGGCTGAGGCAGGGCCTACGGGTGCCGCGACGGGCTGAGGCAGGGCCTACGGGCGTCGCGCGGGCTAGGGGCAGGGCGCGGGCTAGGCGCGCGAAGGGGCGCGTTAAGGGGGGCGGGCTGAGGGCCACGCTAAGGGGCGCGGGCTAGGAGCGCGAGTGCGCAACAACCTCGGAGGGCGCGGAGGGTGCGGAGGGCGCTAGGCGCGACGGAGGGCGCGGAGGGCGCTAGGCGCACGGAGGGCTAGGCTAGGAACGTAACTACTCGTGATACCATCTCAAACAGTGAACGCAACGGAATGGTTGGAATAGAAACGAATGGGGTACAAATAAGCAACCCTAGAAGCTGTACCCCCTAGAGTGCAACTCACTACAGCCTATCACATCAATGTGCAACATTTGACACACCCTTATATTTTTTTTCAGGTTGTCCGTTCAGAAATCCGTCACCTCGAGTGGTCAGGTCTGACGGAGCGCGTGGGTGAGAGGCCCGAAATTGGTTAGAGACGGGTCCGGACCAGGTTCGAAACATCGCGAGACACGAGGCCCCAAGTCAGCTCTATTCCTAGAACTTCGGGGCCCCAATCTGATCATTTCCCTTCACAGATTCATACACCCACATACAGTAAGAAATCTTCCAACACCACGTCTTTTGATACATTAACCTGGCTGTATTATGGGTACCCTAATACGGTATAGCAATGAATACATTTTCCAAATTAACGACATTATGGTAAGAAAAAAGATAATGATTTTCATCGTGTCAAGATTCTTACGTAAGGCTTGGAGGCTACAAGTAGGTGTTGCAGTAAGGTTTCTGTGTTTTGGGTTGAAGTACACGAGTAGAAGAGTTTTATATCGAGAACCACTTCTGAAGCACATCCCTCCCCACTCCCCGCGCATGTGCATGTGCTAGCTTCTGTTCCATTCCATCCACATTCCACCCACATTCTCACGCTAGCAGCTCCATCGTTCAGACACAACAGCAATATTCCCAGTCTTTGCTAGTAGTTTTCGGACGCCTCGGCAGAAAAGCGGAATCTCGAGTTTCTTGACGTTCAGCCAGAGACAGCATCTTCAAGACCAACTCACGTAAGATCGTACATTCTATTTGAAGCACGAATCGCATTTCGCTAGTGGCTTGGTGCTAGTCCTTCGATAGGCGAGTGAGTTTCCGTCCCAGAGGTCTCCCTCGAGAACTTCATCGCGTAGATCCGGCTGCCCCCGGTTACTGAAATTTCGCCCGCGGAGGCACGAGTGAGTCGGTTGCTGCGGACGTTCAAACACGTCATTATTCCGCCCGACTCACTTATTCGTGCCTTCGAAATCACTACTGAGCATAAAGCCGTTCTAATCCGCTCCCTCTGCCGGTTAAGTTCGTCCGTCCGCGCGCCTGCTTCTGCATCTGCGCTCTCTCGCCCTTCTCTCGTGCCACCGTCGACTTACATCGCTGTAACGAATCTGCTCTTTAATGTCACTGCTCCTCCTCGTCCTCCCGTATTCCCTTTCCTCCTCCTCGCTTCGACACAAGCAGAATGGCGGCCAATGACGCGCTGCCAGCTGTCCTGGTGGTGAACGACGATGGGATCGAGGCTCCGGGAATCAAGGCGCTCGTGGCGGTGCTCGGCTCGGCTGGCTTCTGCCGCGTCTTCGTCTGCGCGCCCGACGTGTACGTCGCCTTGCCCCTCCTTCGCGCCCTCTCTGTGCATCCATTTCCCCCCCCTGTGCGCCTGACGTGCACGTCGCACCGCGTCCCATGAACCCTGACTGCCGCCCACACCATAACTGCTTCCCCTCCCGTCTCGCCGCCTCCTCTCCCCCTCAATCCCCTCCAGGAGGGGCCTGATGGAGGTCTAGGAGGGGCGGATGAGGCGCACTCTGACGCCAAGCACTCTATGTTGAGCCGTGTCTTCGCCTTGCTCCTCTCTGCCCCACTGTGACCCTCTGTTCCCTATTCTCCCCGGTGCCGTACTGTCATGGTCTTGCCAGGGAGAAGTCAGCATGCGCGCAGTTCATCCCATCCAGGAGGCACTTGAGGCGAGCCTGGTGGAGGACTATGAGGGGCACATTTTGAATCCAAGCACTCAATGCCAGCCCGTATCTTCTGCTTGCCCCTCTGCGCCCCTTTCTGCCCCACGCCAGGGAGATGTCAGCGTGTGCGCAGTCCTTCACCATCCATGAGGCACTCGAGGCCAACCTGGTGGAGGACTGTGAGGGGCGCACATTCTGAATCCAAGCACTCAATGCCAATCCGTGTCTTCACCATGCCCCTCTGTACCCATCTGTATCCAGGCATGAGCATTTTTCCAAACGTCGAACATGTTCGTTTCGAACATGTTTGGCCCCATTTTTTTAGGAAAAATGTTCGACCGAACATGTTCGGTGTTCGGAATTCCTATGAGGCAAATTCCCGAACATCAAACATGTTCGGAAATATGCCCCACTTTTCCGAACATAAGTTGTTCGGAAATAACCAGCTCGACATTTGTCGAGCTGGTTGGATGTATTTCCTACGGAAAGGTCAGATCGAGGTCATTTCGACCTCGATCTACTTTTTTAGGTTAAGTTATGAGTAGGAAGGATTAGTAGGCGCATTTGATGCCCATTTCCCACCCCAAAGACAAATAGTTGTGTTAGAACTCCAGGTCTGTAATTGCTAGCATGCTTAACATGCTTGGCAATATGTCAGTTTCCTGGAACTCTAACACATGTGCTTTGTTGTGAGTTTCCCTTTCGCTCTGCCATCTTCCCCCGTGTTCTGCACCCCTGTCGTAAATGCTTGGGCAGGTGTTGTACTGAATTGCTCGACAACAAGGGTGGTGAAATCTGCTAAGTCACAAAAACAGTGGTGAAAAGATTTCACCAAATTCTTTTTGGTGTCTGAAACTGCCAAGTCCCCAATTTCGAACATCAAACATGTTCGAAATTAACCAAACATGTAGATGTTCGGCAAACATAAAGACGTTTGCCCTCCTAAACCAAACACCGAACAGTGGAAACCTGAAAAAAATGTTCGGCCGAACCAAACATGTTCGGTTCGGTTAAGAAAAACGTTCGGGGACGTTCGGGCAAACACGTTTGATGTTCGCCCGTTGCTCATGCCTGTGTATCCCTATGATGCCCTCTGTTCCCCGTGTCAGCGAGAAGTCCATCACCATCCGGAAGACACTTGAGGCGAATCTGGTGGAGGACTATGAGGGGCACATTTTGAATCCAACCTGTGTCTTCACCGTCTCTGTACCCGTCTGTACCAATCTCTACACGCCTGTGCCCCTCTGTACCTCTCTATGACCCGCACCAGGGAGAGGTCAGCGTGTGCGCAGTCCATCACCATCCGGGAGACGCTCGAGGCGAATCTGGTGGAGGACTATGAGGGCGCTGCTGTGGCATACTCGCTCACAGGTGCGCGCTGCTGTTCCTGCTCGTTCGTAGCTGTCTCTCCTGATTATTCACAACTTAAACACCCTGTCCGTCCACACACTGCGCTTCAGCCCATTCGTTGTTGGTCTTTTCTTCTTGTATAAGGAATGTTGGTTCGAAAAAGCTTGGGATGAATTTCTGTCCCCCCGGCCTGCTCCCAACAGGCACACGTGCAGACTGTGCGTCCATGGGCCTTTCGGGTGACCTGTGACTCGACTCAAAGGTCCCCTTTCTCCCTCCTGCCTGCTCCCAATCCCCACAGGCACACCGGCAGACTGTGCGTCTGCGGGCCTCTCAGTTAATGTTGAGTCGTCTCAGAAGTCAAGACGTTCAGAACTTTTCCCTGTTCTCCTCCCCCTGCCTTTCCCAACAGGCACACCGGCAGACTGTGCGTCTATGGGGCTTTCTGGCCAGCTCTTCAAGGGCATCAAGCCCCTCCTGGTATGGAGTGGTTCAAAGCGGTGCAGCGAGGCTCATGTGGTCAAAACACGGTCAAAGCGAAGCCATTAGTTTCAAGCATGGTCTAATTGCTCGACTGTGTGTTTCCTGGTGTTGTTGCTTCATGCGTGTCCTCACGTGCCGTTCTCTTCTCAAAGATACCACTGTCGTATCCGTCAAAATCAGATCGCTCTGTTTTGTGAATCTTGTTTTGTTGTACATCCTTTTCTCTCCTAGTCGGGGATCTCTTTTCTTTTCTCCTGATCCTTGTGTCTCTTGATCCTTTGCATCCGTTGCATGCATGTTGATGGCGTGTGTGAGGTCAGGTCATCAGCGGCATCAACAAGGGCGCCAACACAGGCCGCCAAGTGTGAGTTACCGCCTGTGTTGCCGCTTCAGCACCTGCTCGGTCACATCCCATCCCTGTGCTCAAAGCCACCTTCCATTTACCTCAAATCACGGCATCTACCTTCACCAGCAGAAGGACCCTTCTCAGCCATATCCCTGTGTTCTCTCACACCCTTGTTCGTGCCTTCCTGTGCTTGCATTGCATGCATGTGCTTCACGCAGTTCATCACGCATGTTGGCTTTTGAGTCGACTCAAAAGGGTCACAATTTGGAGGCGCCTCAAAAGTCTTTCTTCCTGTCCTTGCATTGAATGCATGTGCTTCTTGGAGTTCATCACGCATGTTGGCAACGTAGCATCCCCCCTCACCTTGTTCTCCAGTCCAAGCACCCCTCACTGCTCCTCCTGTGCTTGCTTGGTCTTCTTCCACACGTTGAATCTCTTTTCTCCTGCCATTGCCATGTCCGCAGCAGCATCTATTCAGGGACGGTGGCGGGTGCAAGGGAGGCAGTGATTCAGAGGGCGCTCCAAGCCCCTTAGCTGCTCCTCTTGTGCTTACATGGCCCCCTTCCACACGTTGTACCGTCCCTATCCCTACCCACCACGGAACCTCCCAACTAACAGCATCTATTCCGGCACGGTGGCGGGCGCAAGGGAGGCCGTAATTCAGGGCGCTCCAGGCATCTCCATCTCCCTCGACTGGTCAGTGCCTTTTCCTTCTTTCAATGCTTGCACGCTTATCGTATTCCTCTGGATGCTGCTTTCATGTTGCATGGGACGGGACCAACCAAGCGCAGCGCCCCTTGCTATGACAGAGTGATTGTCACTACAGTGACTGATCACCTTTTGTCCCTTTATATATACTGTGCCCGCTCACCCACCCGTCCCATCCTTTCTTCCTTTCCCGCCATCTCGCTCTCCATCAGGAACTGCTTGCATGACAGACTTACACTCTTCGTTGGTTCCACCTCCCATCCCATCCCATCCCATCCCGTCCTTTCCCATCAAATTTACTCCACCATAATTCCTTCCACTCCGTCCCCTCCTTCACATGCCTTTGGCCACACACTCACCAGGGCCGCTGCAAGCACTGACGCCCACTTTTCTCCCGCTGCTGCCACGTGTCTGCCTCTCATTCGCTGCGTTCTCGAGGCAGCAACCACTGGTCAGCTATCCAGCAGCGGGGGAGACCCGCTGCTGCTGAACGTGAACGTGCCGCTTGACCCCGTCAAGTCCAAGGTGTGTGCTGCACCTGAGGCACGGTAAAATTAACCACAGCGATACGTTCTGGAGCTACAGTGTTCTGGTTGTAGCAGCAGAGACCTCTGCTGCTCAACGTGAACGTGCCTCTCGACCCGGTCAAGTCCAAGGTGTGTGCTTTCTTCTGCCACCCATATATGGTATGGAATGCTATGGCATGCCATTCTGGTAGCAGCAGCGGCGGGGACCCTCTGCTGGAAGGAATGATATGGTGTGTCCGGCCGGCAGTGCCATGCAAGGGTGGCTTTCTCCTGGACTCACACTGCCAGGAGGCGAAACGGTTACCGCAGTGCACTACTGGCATGAAAGTGCCTCTGCACTGACTCTCCCATTCACCCATTGTTCCCTGCCATGGCTTGAAGCTCGCCCAGCAGGGCCATGCAATGCAAGGGTGGCCTTCCCATGAATGCTGCTCTGATTCCTCCTTTCACGCCGCCCCTCATTCTCAATCGTCCATCCTCCATCCTCTCATCCCTTTCATCCTCGGCAGGGCTTCAAACTCGCCCAGCAAGGCCAGGAACGGGTGGCCTTTTCCTGGACGCACATTGCCAAGAAGCGCACCGGAGTGCAGCTGGCAGGGATGAGTGGTGCTCTGAACATCCCTTTGCTACTCTTTCCTCCATCCTCTTTGCTACTCTTTCCTCCATCCTCTATCCTCCATTCCCGTACTCCCCAACAGGGCTTCAAGCTGGCCCAGCAGGGCCATGCGAGGGTGGCCTTCCCCTGGACGCACATCGCCAAGAAGCGCACCGGTCACCAGGGTGCAGCTCGCACCGGTCACCAGGGTGCAGCTCGCACCGGTCACCAGGGTGCAGCTCGCACCGGTCACCAGGGTGCAGCTCGCAGACATGAATAGTGTTGTTGATCCTCTTTTCAACTCCCTCAATCCCCAGCATGGCTTCAAGCTCGCCCAGAAGGGACAATCAAGGGTCGCCTTCCCCTGGACGCACATCGACAAGAAGCGGACACTGCTGGCAGGGTGCACTGCTGGCGCGAAAGTGGCTCTGCCTTGAATCCCCATTTCAACCCTCGTTCCCTCGCAGGGCTTTAAGCTCGCCCAGCAAGGTCACGCGAGGGTGGCCTTCCCCTGGACGCACATCGCCAAGAAGCGCACTGGAGTGCAGCTCGCAGGCATGGGGGGAGCGGCAGCAGGGGGAAGGGGCCTGCCAGGCATGATGGGGGGCAGGGGCCTGCCGGGGATGATGGGAGGGAGGGGGCTGCCGGGTATGGTGGGAGGGAGGGGCCTCCCGGGCATGACTGGGCCCCCCGCGGTGTCGCTGGCTGAAATCGGATCGGTTGCCTCTGCTGCTGTGAGTGCCCGTCTTTGTTCTTACGAGGTGACTTATGAATCGACTTAAAAGGCTCCTCGGGCATGACTGGGCCCCCCGCGGTCTCTTTGGCTGAAATCGGATCGGTTGCCTCTTCTGCTGTGAGTGTTCGTCTTTGTTCTTAGTCGTTTAGTCGTAGGTGTGCAAATGAGTCGCTGACAAGACTGCTAAAAGTCTGATCTGTTTAATAATCAGCATGCTGGCATGGAATGGTCCATGTGGCATAGCCTGCATTGACGGCATGACTGGGCAGCCTTACTGTCAAAGAGCCTTCATCCCTCTCAACCCCACGCCACTCGCTCTCCCTCTCACAGGGCGCAGCACGGTCCAAGACTCCTAGCCGTCCACTCACCCCCTACTGCACTGTCAAAGAACCTCTTTATTGCGAGCCGTCTCTCCGCCCCATGCACTCCTCTCTCCCCCTCCCCCTCTCCACCCCAACGCGCCCCTCTTTCTCACACCCCACAGGGCGCAGCGCGGTCCAAGACTCCTGGCGAGGAGAGCAAGGAGGATGGCGGGGACGAGCCGTGGCAGCCGCTTCATAAGATGCACTTCCGACACGAGGTGAGGTGCAGCTGACTTTGGCTATTGTTGACCATCGTTGACCATCTTTGACCATCGTTGACCATCGTTGACCATTGTTGACCATCGTTGACACGAGGCAGCCACTCCATGAGATGCACTTGAGAAACGCCGTGAGGTGCATGTCGCATCAATAGTATGAGGATCAAGTGGGTGGGACTTGCTGGTCGAGCCAAGTACCGTGCCTTAGTCTCTGCTACTTTATGCCGTGCACTGCAGCTCTGGTGGTCTGCATGGGGCACTGCCACTGCCACTCTGCAGGCCTTTCACGTCGCCTGACTGTTCAGAAACATCATCAGTCTCACACATCTCTCCCCCACAGTCGAGTGGGTGGGACGTGCTTGACAAGGATCCCGCCTCTGACTCCACTGCCCTGCCAGCCTTTTACATAAACTGACTGTCAAAGCGTCAGTAGCACCCCTCTCACCTGCACTCATCCCTCTCACCCCCTCGCACCCCTCTCTCTCTCGCTCCCAGCCGAGCGGGTGGGACGTGTTTGACAAGGACCCCGCCCTGCTTTTGACTCCGCGAGTGGTGCGAGGACCCCGCCCTGCCATGTGAAATGCTGGCAGGACGCGGGATGAGTGCGGGTGGGACGTGCTTGACAATGATTCTGCCTTTGACTCCGCTACTCTGACATCCTTTTGCATGGCCCGACTGTCATAGAACCTCATCAGTCCCACCCCTCTCACCCCTACACACCCCTCTAACTCCCACACACCTCTCTCTCCCCCACTCACCGCTCTCACCACACACCCCGCAATTCCCAGCCGAGTTGGTGGGACGTGCTTGACAAGGACCCTGCCCTGCTTTTGACTCTCCGCTCCTCTGCCAGCCTTTCACTTGGCCTGACTGTCAAAGACTTCTCACTCCCATCCCTCTCAACCCCTCGCACCCCTCTCTCCCTCCCAGCCGAGTGGGTGGGACTTGCTTGACAAGGATCCGGCCTTTGACTCTGCTGCCCTGCCAGCATTTCACATGGCCTTACTGTCATAGAACCTCATCAGTCTCATCTCTCTTACCTCCTATCACCCCCTGGCACTCCCCTCTCTCTCCCTCCCAGCCGAGTGGGTGGGACGTGCTTGACAAGGATCCGGCCTTTGACTCCGCTGCTCTCGCACTTGGCTATGAAAAGCCTCACTAGACTCGTCCCTCTCACCCCCTTGCACCCCTCTCCCTTTTTCAGTCGAGTGGGTGGGACGTGCTTGACAAGGATCCGGCCTTTGACTCCGCTGCTATACCAGCCTTTCACATGGCGTGCCTGTTAAAGCGTCAGTAGCACCAGTCTCACCAATACTCACCCCTCTCACCCACCTCCCCCCCCCGCACCCCTCTCTCCTGCCCAGCCGAGTGGGTGGGATGTGCTTGACAAGGACCCCGCCTTTGACTCCGCTGCTCTTGCTCTCGGCTATGTGAGTGGTGATGGGTGTGATGGGGTTGAGAGTGGTGATGGGTGTGTGAGTGGTGATGGGGGTGTGAGTGGTGATGGGTGTGTGAGTGGTGATGGGTGTGTGAGTGGTGATGGGTGTGTGAGTGGTGATGAGTGTGTGAGTGGTGATGGGGGTGTGAGTGGTGATGGGTGCGTGAGTGGTGATGGGGGTGTGAGTGGTGATGGGTGTGTGAGTGGTGATGGGTGTGTGAGTGGTGATGGGGGTGTGAGTGGTGATGGGGGTGTGAGTGGTGATGGGTGTGTGAGTGGTGATGGGTGCGTGAGTGGTGATGGGGGTGTGAGTGGTGATGGGTGTGTGAGTGGTGATGGGTGTGTGAGTGGTGATGGGGGTGTGAGTGGTGATGGGTGTGTGTGTGGTGATGGGTGTGTGAGTGGTGATGGGGGTGTGAGTGGTGATGGGTGTGTGAGTGGTGATGGGTGTGTGAGTGGTGATGGGTGTGTGAGTGGTGATGGGTGTGTGAGTGGTGATGGGTGTGTGAGTGGTGATGGGTGTGTGAGTGGTGATGGGGGTGTGAGTGGTGATGGGTGCGTGAGTGGTGATGGGGGTGTGAGTGGTGATGGGTGTGTGAGTGGTGATGGGTGTGTGAGTGGTGATGGGTGTGTGAGTGGTGATGGGTGTGTGAGTGGTGATGGGTGTGTGAGTGGTGATGGGTGTGTGAGTGGTGATGGGTGTGTGAGTGGTGATTATCACCTGCTCTTTCTATTCTCGCCTCTCTCCTCTCTCCCTTCCCATGCCTCCTTCCTCTCACTTGCCGTGCCACCCATCGAACAGACGACAGTCACTCCGTTTGCCGTTTTTTAGGTGCCTTTGAACTCCTCTCTGCCCTTGCTTATACCGTGCCACCCATGGTGCAGGTGACACTCACGCCGCTCGCCATCACTGCTGCCATCGACATCCACTCACGGCTCAAGGAGGACCTGGCGTGGCTCGCGCCGCTGCTGCCCCACGATGCCTAACTTGCCCCTTGGTTCGACATGCACTCCGCTCGCCGTCACCTCATTCAATAGCGTCCACCCACGGCTCGTCGGACCTGGCATGGCTCGCACCGCTGCTGCCCCGCGATGCCTGACCTGCCCCTTGGATTGACTGTCGCTGAGTTTTTCATCTGAGGCCTGAGCTGTTGGACCAGTCCAGAACCCAGTTTTTGTAACATGAAGAATCATGTACGGTCAGTTTTCTCATATGAAGTAAAACACAATATCACAAGTTCTTTGGGAATTGTTTCTTTGTCCATTATTATGGAAGGGAAAGATTACAGCAAGACTCCATGGCCCAATGGATAAGGCGCTGGTCTACGGAACCAGAGATTCTGGGTTCGATCCCCAGTGGAGTCGTCTCATGTTGAACCAGACCCGGCGCGCTTCTTCGTTTTATCCTTTCTGCTCCTGTTCAGGAAAAGCGGTTGAGCACGGTCGTGTACAGTGTAAAGCGGCTGGTTCTATTGATGTCCAAGGGGTGGTGGCGAACGGGGTCTTCAAGACGCGCGAACTCCCCAAATCTTCGACGATCGATCGTTCGATTTTGATCGGCCACCGCAGGCGCGTGTGATATTTTTTCGAACTTCCTAAAGTTCGAACTTTAGGAACGGATCTACACGGTTGGATACATTTTTTTTCTTCGCCACGGTGCAAAGCGTTTTGCGTTCGAACTTAGTAAAAAAAACTCAAAATCAAACTTTCCAGGCCTTTTAGAACCTGTTGAAATTACGAACCTGCGCAAGGTCGATCGCTCAAATGTGGTGGGAGTTGACGCGTCCTCGTGGCAACATCCACGCAGCACATCTACTCAGAAGCAATAACGGCCAATTTTATGCGAAGGCAATAACGCCTACAGAACAGTGCCAAGTAGGAAAAGCCAAGTAGCCATGGCCAAGTATGTAAGGCCAAGTAGCCATAGGCGTGGAAGACGGGCACCTTCTTCGCGCCTTCTTGTTCGACCTTTTCCCGCACGGCCTCTCCCTCCCGCTGCTGCGTTTTCTTCCGTCTTCTCTGACAACCCGTGGTGGTGTGGCGTGGCCGTGCGGGGCGAACCGCGCGTTGGCGCGGCGAAGAACCTATTTCTTTCATAAACCGTGCCACGTGCGAGCGGAAGCAGCGCTTTTTCGTGCTCCTCGGGGTTTCCCTCCAGTTTCATCCCTGCTCGCCCAACCCATACCACAAGTACGTGTATTTCTGCCTCTGCTCTTCTGGTGCCTCGAATCTATAAAGAAGCCGAAAAGTGAGGGCAAGAAACGTGCAATCTCGCATTCACTACCAAGTTCCTTTCCTCCATCTCCTGCTTGCTCTTCGCTCGCCCAACATGGTACTCGCTCGCTCTCCCCGCCTCCAGGCAACCAAGACTGCACCACGCGCAGCGCTGCTATGCCTCGTCATTTCCATCGCGCTCTCCGCGCCGTGCGCCGTGCGCGGCGCGCAGGTTCCCGCGGCGTCGTCGATAGCAGCGGCGCTGTCAAGCGCGGAGTCGCCAGCGGAGTCGTTCAACGTGTCGCTGCTCGTCCTCAACGCCACCGGGCTGCTCGCCAAGCTGCCCGCGCTCGCGCCGCTCACTCTCTTCGCGCCCACCGACGCCGCGTGGCGCGCCGCATTCCACGCCCTCGCCCTGCCGTACCTCAGCGCCTACATTCCCTTCCCCGGTCCCGCTGTCGGTGGCGAGACCCTCCGGAAGAACGGGAACAGCTCGGGCGGCGCGGGCGATTCGGACGCTGCCAACTCCATTAGCCCCGCGCAGCCGACCCCAGCGCCCGGCGTTCCCCCCCAGGCGGGAGACGCTACTAGCGGCGGTGCGAGCTCGGCGATGGTTCCCGGCCTTCCGCAGATTGACTTGCCGCTGCCCGGCGTTCCCGACCTGCCCATTCCCGAAATTCCCGGCGGGCTGGACGGGTTGAATGTGACAATGCCTTCGGATAACATGACGCTTGCCACGCCCGATTTCAACATGACCATGCCCAACATGACCATGCCCAACATGACCATGCCTGGCATCAATATCACCACGCCCGACTTCAACTGGACCTTTCCCGATGTAAACACGTCCATGCCCAACATGAACCCGCTGACTTTCAACCCGCTTCTCGCCGCACTGAGCGCCGTGTTTTCCGGCGACGGGACGCCCGCGTCGCTGGCGGCGCTGGCGGCGCTGGCGAAGGAGCGGCCCGAGGCGCTGCAGGCTCTGTCGGAGCTGCTCGCGTACCACGTGGCGACCACGGCAGCGCTGAACTCGGCGGCCATCGCGGCGCAGTTCACAGCGGCGGGGGATGCGGGCAACTTGACGACGGTGGACGGGCGGGCGCTGTGGGTCAACTACAACACGAGCGAGTCGGCGGCGCTGCTCAACGCGTACTCGCCGGCGCAGCGCGCGCTGATTAGCGAGGGGGTGAGCGTGGGGTACGACGGCACGGTGTACTTCCAGAATGGCACCACCGTGGCGGCCAATGGCACGGTCATCTTTGACCCCGCGACGAGCCCCGTGGCCGTTGACTCGGAGGGCAACACGTACTTCGCCAACGGCACCGTCGTCAGCGCCAATGGCACCGCTGTGAGCACCAACGGCACCATCGACGGGCCGGGTCTCTCCGTGCCCCCCACCGTCTCATCACCGTCCGATATGCCCCCCGCCACCGCCATGCCCGCCCCCATTGATGTGCCCCCTGCCACCACCATGCCCATCGTCCTGGTGGAGCCAATCCCGAGGGTCATGGGCGGGTGGGGCGACTGGGGCAACTGGGGCAACTGGAGCGCGGAGGCGCAGCAGCAGTGGTGGGGGAATGCGACGGAGTGGATGAACGGGGCCGTGCCGGGGCTGAACGTGACTGCCAGCGAGTACCTCGCCTGGCTCAACGCCTCCTCCCTCGCCTGGGCGGCAGGCTTTGATGCCATGTGGGAGCAGGCTGGCAGCGACATGAACGTGGCTCGGGTGGTGCGGGCTGATGTGATGGACAGCGCTGGCATCGTGGTGCATGGTGTGGATGGCGTGCTGTTTCCCCACTTCCGCGACTTGCCCGTGTTGAAGGGCGGCGCAGGAGGAGGAGAGGGTGCCGTGCCTATGCCCATTGCCGTGCCTGTCGTGGCACCTGGTGGCGTTGCTAACGACAGCGCGAACGGCACCGGCACGAATGGCACTATGACTGGCGGGAAGCCCAACGACAGTGTTGCCACAGGTGCTGGTGCTGTTGCTGGGTCTAGCAACAGCAACAGCAGCAGCAGCGGTGAGCAGGATGCATTTAAGATTGCGGCGAGTGGCACGCCAGCACCACCTGCTGGGTCATCCCCCCCGAGCAAATCACAGAGCAAGGCTGCTGCAGGTGAGCGCTGCCTCCACTCTCTTCTTCTTTTTCTCCCCCTCATTTCTTGCCGCTGAATCTCCTGTGTATGTAGCTACATGACTCTGCGCTGGTTGTGCTGTGCTGTGCTGTGCTGTGCTGTGCTGTGCTGTGCTGTGCTGTGCTTTGCTGTGCTTTGTGTTCGTGATAGCCACTACTATGGGTGCAACCGCTCTTCAACCCACATGTTTAACCTTCCTCATTTTTTTCGCATTTGTGTGTGTGCGTTGTGCGCAGTCCCCCTCCTCTTGGCTACTGCACTCTCCCTTGTGGCTCTGCTGTAGCGTGAACAGCCAGATTGCTGGTGTTGCTACAACTACCGTATGGCCTCCATCCCCCACAGACCTGTCACCCCTCGTTGTGGTTGCAATTTCTAGTCCTCTATCTGTAGGCATGGTTAGTATCTATTGCTGTTTGCTCCCTCTTTTTTTTTTCCCCCATCCAGCCCGGTACGCAGTGGCATGTTATGAGCTGTGTTTATGTCAGCTCGTTTGTGTCAGCTCGTTCCTGGAGCCGTGTTTATGTCAGCTATAGCTCTACTAGTAATGAAGCTCGTTTGTGCCCGCTGGAGCGTCTGGTTCAACATTGCATGAAAACCAACTGGTACTCTTGGAGAATGGATTGGAGTGAAACACACTACTCTTGGAGAAAACCAACTGATGAACAGAAGAACAGTGCTGAATTCTTGAGCAGTTAAGGACAGGAAGGGAGGCAGGCAGTAGACCGGCAAACCGAGCAATGCCAACCATACCGGACCGGTAGTACAGGGTTGTGCAAGTCGTAGCAACAGGATTGGACATGAATCACTCTCCCTACTCTAGCGATTCACAGCTCAATGTCGGCATGGGTGAGGACTGCCCTGAACCCCTTGGGCGTTCGGTTTCTTCCAATCGGAACAGCAGCGACAGCAACAATCAGAGCAACACTGATGGTGGCAGCACGTGGCATGGAACAGATAGCTGTGATTGTGGGAGTGGAGGGTGGGGGAGCTGTGTGGGAGGACTGAGATGCCGCTTGGGAAGCTACTGGTGGGGTGGTGGGTGCCGACACTGCAGTGTGGGCAGGGTGGATGCACAGTGCACGTTGCATGTTGCATATTTATCGATGCACGGTGAACACGCAAGAAAGGCGATCAGTTTCAGCTGAAATTTCCATACGATTTCGGCATGTGCATGCAATGGAACCTGTTTCGCCATTAATCCATGCACAAACCATATGCTTCCACCATGATCTTTCCAAGGTGGTGAGACACCACCCTCATGTTCTTAGGCTCACCCTCAAGGCAGCACAGAACTTACAATCACGGGGCGTGCGGGAGGAGCAGAAGGAGAAGCGGATGCAGCAGAAGGAGGAAGTGTTTTTCTGGTGCACCCATACTCGCTGTAGTCTGGAGGACAGGTCAGCCCCGAGCCAGTGAGGTTCCTGGAGGCGAGGGGGTGGGAAAAGGGAGAATGTATACAGGAGCAGGGAGAAGGGAGAAATGGAAGAAATGGCAATGGAAAAAGGGAAAGGAAGAGAGGAGACAGAGAGTGGAGCTACTGTATGTTGGGAATAGCACAAGGCAATGTAGTGTATCACGTTAACTGTTCACATATGGAACGGATCGCTATGGAAAGGACCCCAATGGAAAGTGCCACAGTCTCCGAATCCTATCACACACCCTACGAGAGCATTTATTTTGGGGCTTACATATTGTCCCGTGCATGATCACTCAAGGTCACTGGGATGGACCCTGAGAGCTTGTTCAAACTCAAATCACTACCATGGGGGATGGGGTACGGGTGGAGGGAAAGAGCAGGGAAATGAGGCAGGTAGAAAGACCTGCAAACATGCTTGTATGGCCGTAGTGGTTAGTTCTAAGATGGATGAGTGGAGTGAAAGAGAGGGAGTGAGGGAAACAAGGACCGTGGCAGCAATTGAGTAGGGGCATATTCATATGCAATGGGGCCCAGCCATGTAATTTTCTAGTAGTGTCAACAATAAAGCACGCGTGCACTGAAAGCCACGCAAACTTCTCCCTAGAAAATCAAGGAGAGAGGCTGGAGTGACGTTGATGAGCGTGTGGGTGAGACGAGCTGGATTGGACCACACAGCCCACGTCTGACCTCGGACATGGTCAACGCACGCAGGCAAGGGCCCCTCGAGACCGTTGTGACCCAGCTTTGTGAGATGAACCAGTTAAGGACAGATGCATGCCAAACATGAAAGGGGAGGAGGGGACGGAGTGGGGAGTGGGAAACAAGTAGGTGGTAGATTCCATCAAGTGAAGTGAAGCGTGGGGTCGTGCTTGCATGCGTGGCAAGGTTGGCCAGTGCTCAGATGCCTTGGCTCATGGCAAACTCTTTGCGCGGCAAGGACTGTTGGTGCAAATACGCGCTTTGGTATTGTCTTGCTCGCGCACAATGTGATGTGCGTAGTACCCGAGTGACCTTCCTCCCAATGTCTCGGCAGGAAGCATGCAGCCTTGTGTGCGTCAACGCAACTCCCTGCACGCCATCTCTCTATACTCAACATGTTGTGTCCTTATTGCTGGTAGAAACCTAGCAGGGTGAGTGGTGCCGAAGTGATAGGGGAAACTTAAATCCCTAATTTGCTCACCGAAACTGGCACGTTAAGGACTAAAGATCCGCGTAACAAATTGCTGAATCGTGTGCAGGGCGGTGAGCTCGACAAGACACTTAGCCTGACGAGCCGTTGAGGCACCAGCTGCTCAAGCTGGCGTGCATTGCTTCACCGTGGTGCATCTTCTCCGCCTCTCGCTCGTCTTAACTTTGCATGTCACCATAAGATCCTCAGATAGCATACCACATGGTGCCTCCCTCTAGTCTGCTACAGCCCGTGACCTACTGTGGCCCACAGTAAATCTGGGATGAAGCAAAGGGCAATGGGCATGGAGCCCGAGAGGTGATTGTACTAGGGATCCCTGCAGGTCAGCACACACATGGGCATATAAGCGGGTGGATAGGCAGGCGGGTGGGCATGTGGGCACGAAAGGCAATCAGCACGGACAACAGGTTCCCACTAGAGCTGATTTTTCTTAACCTATCCAACGTTCGAATCTTGTTGACTGGGGCACTTGTGATTAGCAAAGGTACATCAGAAAGAATTACCAACAGAGCATGGAGATGGATTGTGTACGAGGCCCGGCACTGACGCGTTCTCACAAGCACTGACAGGGAGGAGAGCGAGGCTGTCGAGTCGAACCTCCTGGTGCAGCGGCAACAGCAGTGCTGCGACCCGAATCGCGTGAAACAGCTCGTTTCAAACAGCTTCTAGCGGCGCACTCCGCGCGGCGAGGGGCTAAGAGTCGCAGGGGAGGAAAGGGGAGGGAGGAAGGGGAGGGGGGGAAAGGGGAGGGGGGGAAAGGTGAAGAGCTGAAGCAGGCGCGTTTACAGGGCACGGCGAGAGACATGGTGTTGAAGGCAGAGATGGTGTCCAAGAGCATGCTGGAGAAGAGGCTCCTGTGCCATGCCATGTCACGCCATGTCAGGCATGTGGTACCCATGTGGTGCAATGTGGTACCCATGTGGTGCAATGTAGTACCCGTGTGGTGCCATGTAGTACCCATGTGGTGCCATGTAGTACCCATTTGGTGCCACATGTAATACCCATGTGGTGCCATGTGGTACCCATGTGGTGCTATGTGGTACCAAGATGGTGCCATGTGGTACCCATGTGGTGCCATGTGGTACCCATATGGTGCCATGTGGTACCCATGCGGTGCCATGTGGTACCCATGTGGTGCCATGTGGTACCCATGCGGTGCCATGTGGTACCCATGTGGTGCCATGTGGTGCGGGGCATGCCAGCCATGTGGTGAGGGAAACGGAGGGACGAGAGGGAGGGTGAGAGGGTGGAGAAGGATCGATGCAGGGGGGCCAGCCAGAGATGGATCAAGGGAATAAAGGGGCGAAGGGTAAGAAGGGCAAGGGGAAGGGAAGTGGAGCAGAAGGAGAGCAAGAGGAGGGAGTGAGAGTTTTAATCACGTGAGTGCGGCGTGGGAGACGTGTGGGGCCCACAAGTAGGTGAGGGGAAGGTTGGCAACGACAACAGGGATGGTCCCCGAAATGTTGTTGTAATAGAGTTTGTTGCACGGACAAGAGACAGAGGAATGTCACACAGGGTTAGATGGGACGAAACATGAATGGGTTGGTCATTGTGGGTTGGTCATTGTGGATTGGCCATTGTGGATTAGTCATTGTGGATTGGCTTAACCACCATCCATTGCATAGCCACCATCCATTGCCCAGCCAACATCCTTGGCCTAGCAACCATCTATTGCTTAGCCACCATCCACCACTTAGCCAGCATTGGATGATCATTGTGGATTGGACCATGAATAGTTGCCCTTGCAGAGTTGATGCCAAGGAGGCGAAGAGTGAGCAATGAGAAAGTGGGATGGAGGCAGACTGAGTGAGCAAGAAGGGAGGTGCACAGGTCAGTGAGGGCGGTTAGGGCGAAGATGGTGGATAGAATAGAGCCAGTGAAGCATTCAGATCAGATCGTGGAAGAGAAAGGGGAGACAGGAGGGGAGGGCGCACTGATGGCTGGTGAGCAAGAAGTTGGGAAGAGTGAATGGTGTGAGATATCATTGTGAATGGTCGGCTTAGCAACTTAAGAAGTCAATTCTTCTTAGCGGTGAGAGCCAATCCTTGAGCTTAGCAGCTGAAGGTGTCAAAGCAAGATGAGGGGCTCTTGACGCGGTGATGGCTCACAGAGTGTCCAGACATGTGAGCGCTAATTAGATCAGTGGGGAACGCTGCAAAGCGGTGTTCGCTAAAGTTGCCGGTGACATCCCTGCAAGGCGGGAAAGGTCAAGAGGGTTGGGGAAGGTCCAATCAGTTGAAAGACAAAGGGAGGGGAGAAGGAGCAGTGCAAAGTGGCATCACCAGGAGCAACCACAGCGCATCACCTTAATAATATAATAACGACGCACACATCGATAAACAGGAGGTGCACTTGGGAAGATGCAGATGTTGGCGAGGTGAACAGATGTTGGCGAGGCTAATGAGGTGCGAAGAAGCAGTATGGTGAGTAGACGGCATGTGTGGTGGCATGTGAGGATGGCGACACGAACAGGTATTGGAGCAAGGAGAGGGTGGCGATCCATGAGGGTAGGCTGCTGGCTGGGAAGGAACTGAATGTTTTGTGTGAGAGGAGGGAGGGGAGGAGAGGGATGCGTAGAGGAAAATAGATCTTGCATTGTTCCGCAGCATGAGAAGGCATGAGGAAGCGTCGCACATCCAGAATGACAACAGTGGTAGCAACAACATTGGCAACACAT